GTCGGGGTCCCCAAATGGGTTTGGGATGTCCCCAGATGGGGTCAGGGTCTCAAACTGGGATGGAGGGGGTCCCTAAATGGGGCTGGGGGCCCTCGATATGAGTGGGGCTGGGAGTTTTCCAAGTTGGAGTTAAAAGTTCCCAAATTGGGTTTTCCAAATTGGGGTGGAGTGGAGCTGGGGGGCTTTGAATAGGGTTGGGGGTCCCGAAATGGGGCTGGGGGGCTTCAAATGGGGCTGGGGGTCCCCAAATGGGGCTGGGGGTGTTGGGGGGGGGTCTCCCCACAGCTTGGTCCCACTGCCCGCCCCTCGACCGCCCCTCTGCCCCACAGAGGCAGCAGCGCTGCTGGCAGCACTGAGTGATGGTGGATCCACGGTGCCACGCCGCGGCACCGGCACTGCCGGGGAGGAGGAGGAGGAGGAGGAGGAAGCAGAGCTGGCGTTGGCACTGCAGTGCTCCATGGAGGAGAAGAAAAAGGAGGAAGAAGAGGAGGAAGCACAGCTGGCATTGGCGCTGCAGCGATCCATGAAGGAGAAAAAGAAGGAGGAAGAAGACGAGGAGGAAGCACAGCTGGCAATGGCGCTGCAGTGCTCGATGGAGGAGGAGGAGGAGGAGGAAGAGGAAGCACAGCTGGCGCTGGCGCTGCAGCGATCCATGAAGGAGAAGGAGGAGGAAGAGGAGGAGGAAGCACAGCTGGCACTGGCGCTACAGCGATCCATGAAGGAGGAAGAGGAGGAGGAAGAAGAGGAGGAGGAAGTACAGCTGGCCATAGCACTGCAGTGCTCCATGGAGGAGAAGAAAGAGGAGGAGGAGGAGGAGGAAGCACAGCTGGCAATGGCACTGCAGCGATCCATGAAGGAGGAAGAGGAGGAGGAAGCACAGCTGGCATTGGCGCTGCAGCGATCCATGAAGGAGGAAGAGGAGGAGGAAGCACAGCTGGCAATGGCACTGAGGCGGTCCATGAAGGAGGAAGAGGAGGAGGAGGAGGAAGAGGAAGAGGAGGAGGAAGAAGAGGAGGAAGCGCAGCTGGCGCTGGCACTGCAGCGATCCATGCAGGAGAAAAAGGAGGAAGAGGAGGAGGAAGCACAGCTGGCACTGGCGCTGCAGTGCTCGATGGAGGAGGAGGAGGAGGAGGAAGCCCAGCTGGCAATAGCACTGCAGCGATCCATGCAGGAGAAAAAGGAGGAAGAGGAGGAGGAAGCCCAGCTGGCACTGGCGCTGTGCTGCTCTATGGAGAAGGAGGAAGAGGAGGAGGAGGAGGAGGATGAAGCACAGCTGGCGGCGCAGAGCCGCCCCCCGCCGGACGTGGCGGAGCTGCAGATTTTCGCGGCGTCGCGGCGCGATGCTGCAGTGGTGGCGGTGGAGCTGCGGCGGGCGCTGGCAGCGGAGCTGAAGGCGGTGAGGCTGCGGGACGCGGCGCTGCCGGCGCTGCCGGATGGAAGCCTGGCGATGCTGCGGCGCCGGCACGCGGTGCAGCTGCGGATCCGGGGATGCAGCGCCACGCTGAGAGGATTTGCGGAGTTCGTCGGCGACGCCGAGCGGGAGCTGAGGGAGATGCTGGGCGACGGGAAACGGGACGGAGATGGGGGGACTGGTGAGTGGGGGGGGAAGGCAACGCAGGGCACTGGGAGTGCGCTCTGAGTGCACACTGAGTGCACGCTCAGAGTGGTCATTGAGTGCCCACTGAGTGCCCATTGAGTGGTCATTGAGTGGTCATTGAGTGGACATTGAGTGGCCATTGAGTGCCCACTGAGTGCCCACTGAGTGCCCATTGAGTGCCCTTTGAGTGGCCACTGAGTGCCCATTGAGTGACCATTGAGTGGCCATTGAGTGCCCACTGAGTGCCCATTGAGTGGTCATTGAGTGCTCATTGAGTGCCCACTGAGTGCCCACTGAGTGCTCATTGAGTGCCCACTGAGTGCTCACTGAGTGCCCATTGAGTGCCCTTTGAGTGGCCACTGAGTGCCCACTGAGTGCCCATTGAGTGGTCATTGAGTGGACATTGAGTGGCCATTGAGTGCCCACTCAGTGCTCATTGAGTGCTCATTAAGTCGTCATTAAGTGCTCAATGAGTGCCCAATTGAGTGCCCACTCAGTGCCAGCTGAGTGCCCACTGAATGCCCATTGAGTGCCCACTGTGTGCCCATTGAATGTCCACTGAGTGCTCATTAAGTGCTCATTAAGTGCCCATGAAGCGCCCATGAAGCGCCCATGAAGCGCCCATTAAGTGCCCATTAAGTGCTCATTAAGCGCCCATTGAGCGCCCATTAAGTGCTCATTAAGCGCGCATGAAGCGCCCATTAAGTGCTCATTAGCGCCCATTGAGCGCCCATTAAGTGCTCATTAAGCGCGCATGAAGCGCCCATTAAGTGCTCATTAAGTGCTCATTAAGCGCCCATTAAGCGCCCATTGAGCGCCCATTGCGCGCCCATTAAGTGCCCATTGAGTGCCCATTAATCGCCCATGAAGCGCCCATTAATTGCTCATTAATTGCTCATTAATCGCCCATTAATTGCTCATTAATCGCTCATTAATCGCCCATTAATCGCCCATTAATCGCCCATTGCGCGCCCATTGCGCGCTGGTTGCGCTGAGTGCCGCTGTCCCCGCAGCGCAGCCGTGGCGGCGCGCAGCGCGGTGTTGGCGCTGGGTGCGCTGGTCGCCCTGCGGCACGGCGGCGCCGTTGTGCGCGGAGGACGGCGCGGCGCTGGAGGCGCTGTGGCAGCGCGGGGAGCGCCGGGCGCCGGCGGTGCTGGGCGGCCGCCGCGTCACCGTGGACCTGCGGCGCATGGAGGAGCGCGACGGCGCCGGCACGGTGGCGGTGCTGAGCCGCTGCGCGGTGCCGCCCGGCGCGCCGCCGCTGCTCGGTGCGGATGCGGCTCAGCTGGGACCGGCCGCTGTGCCACGTCCCGCTGCTGGGACATCGCATCCGTCCCGTCCCGTCCC